TGATGTTTTGGGTATATTCATGATTTTTCAACACAAACATCAGAACCGTTGAACCTGACATAATCACAAGGGTAAAGAAATTTAACAATAACAAATGCAATTGAATTTAAAGAAAATAACCAACGATGAAACAGGATTTGATGGGACCAAAAATTACGTGGAAGAAAAGCTGAAACTGTTTTCATTTCTCCGCAATATTTCATTTTGGAAATCTTTACAACTAACTTTCAGTAGCACGATACCTTAACTCAAAACTGAGATTACGAAAACAAATGTGGGAAAATATTTTTGGGTTTTGTAGTTTCTAAATTATTTCGCCGAATTTTATACTTTTGAACAAAAATTAACAACTTATAACACGATGTTGCAACTCAAAACAAAATTAGTAGCCAAACGTTCCAAACTAATGAAGAAAGAAAAGAAATTAGCCACGAGAATTTCAAAAACCTTAATGATAATGAAAAATAAAGAAAATTGTTTTTGTGTTTTATATTTTCTGATTTTTTTGGGAATTTTTTCATTTTATTGCACAATAATTAGTAACTCAGACACGAAACTATAACTCGAAACACAATTAGTAATTAAATTTTTTGAATACAAATATCAAATACAAACTAACAAAGAAAATTTCAAAATTTTTAAAATGATAATAATTAAATTTAAAAAATATTTTTGTGCTTTATATTTTATAAATTTTTTGGAAATTTTCATATTTTTTGATTAAAAATTAGCAACTAAAAANAAATATTTTTGTGCTTTATATTTTATAAATTTTTTGGAAATTTTCATATTTTTTGATTAAAAATTAGCAACTAAAAACACAAAACGATAACATAAAACAAATATCAGTAACCAAGCGATTTAATAATGATAATAAATAAATAAATAAAAACGTTTTTGTATCTTATATTTTATAAATTTTTTTGGAAATTTTCATATTTTTTGATCAAAAATTAGCAACTTAAAACACGAAACCATAAAACAAAATAAAAATTAGTAACCAAACTTTTGAATAATGATAATTAAGAAATAAATAAAAATATTTTTGTATTTTATATTTTATAAATTTTTTTGGAAATATTCTATTTTTTTATTATCAAAAATTAGCAACGAAAAACTCGAAACCATAACACGAAACAAAAATTAGTAACCAAACATTTCAATAATGATAATAACCTAAATATTTTTGTATTTTATATTTTATAAATTTTTTGGAATTTTATATATTTTTCGAACAATAACTAATTACTCAAAAAGATGAAACGAACACTCAAAACAAAAATTAGTAGCAAAAAACACAAAACCAAACTCAAAACAAAAATTAGTAACTATGAACAAAAAACCTCTCACCCACCAAAAATCACCATCATTACCATCAAAAATAACACCACCACCATCAAAATCACCGTCACCATCCAACTACCACCATCATCAGAAACCACCATCACCAAAAACTATCTTCATCATCAAGACCATCTCAATACCAAAACCATTTTTTCCATCAAATCCACCTCACCATCAAAACCACTTCAACATCAAACCATCTTCATAAAAACCTTCACCACCCAAACTACCATTACCATCACACCTCACCATCCCATTCCATCATTATCATCACAACCACCATCACTATCCATACCAATATTACCATCAAAATCACCTCACCATCAAACTTCCTCCACTAACAATCCAAATCCACAAATTATCATCACCAAAACAACTCAAAAACTTCCACCAATCTCTATCACCATCACTATTATCATCATCAACATCAACAATATCATCACAAAATCTCAAAATAGCATCACAAAAAACAACGAAGAGGAAGAGACGAGCAAACCAACCTACTAAAACCCAACAAGGACTATTTGGGGCAAATGAGGGAACCACAAAGACTGCCTGCAGGAACCTGATACAGGCACTGAGGCATTAACGGTAATGCCACCCGAGTTACAGCTGAGGCCTTCATAAATCTTATCATCAAATGGGACACCCCAAGGAGCATTGCAACCGACACCATCAGGGAT